TGACAGAGATCAAATACTAACCTAGTGTGAGCCAATGTCAAACACCTACCAACCGAGCCAAACCCCCGGAGGCACGTGAGTTAAACCTTGATAACACTTTGGGAGTAAATTAAGTTAATAATTGCCTAAAAAAAGAGATGACACGTAAAGTAAATAAATAAAATAAAATTTCACTTTTATCTTTCTCTAGGGTCTCATTAATTAGGCTTTCTTTAATACCACCTTCTCGACTTCCGAACTTTGTCTATGCTGGATTCTTTGACCTTTTTTACATAAAGGGTGGATTCCCCATAATTTGTACGAAATGTGCTTATTATATATATATATATATATATATATTCTATAATGAAATTTTTTACATGTAACTTTATCAAAGGAAGCAACCTAAAAATTTAAAAGCATTCTATAAATTATCATGATGATTGAACATCAACTTTTAAACCAGTGATGCTTTCTCTCACAAAACTTCAGACCTTTTCCATCCATTAAACCTATATATGCACGCACTTTACTTACCTTAACTAGTAAAATGCTTACCCTTAATCTTTAATAAGGTTCATCGTTAGAAGAAACAACAAATAAAAATAGTAATAGGATATGAAATACTTTTGATTGATTATTTATCATAATATAAGTAGTGGAGGGGTATTCTTTTTATTTATGACATAAATGACCATTTAAAAACAATAGATTAGACAATTTATTATAACAATTCAGTGTAAAAATAATTTTACATAAAATAAACGCATTAATTTATTACCAGAATACCAGTGCTTGCTTGGGCCCACAAGTTAATTCTATTTTAATCATTCTTTCGTAAATAATGGTCCTTTCTCAAATTTCATGTATTAAGTAGCAATTCTAATGCATGGTGGGTCACGTGAGTTAAATCATTGGAGAAATTAAATTAACTTACTAATTACTTAAAAATATATATTTATAGAGATGACCCCCAAAAAACACTTCCGGTCTATTTAGTTTAATTTTTTGAGAACAATTTTTTTAATTTTTCTTTTATAATTAAAAATTAAAAAATTGTATAAATACATTTTTAAATATATTTATTTTTATAGAACTATCTTTTATAATTCTTTAAAAACTTACTTGTAAATTCTTGAAAACTGAACCAAATAACTGTATTTTTTATGCTTTCAATTATGACCTTTTTATTTGTCAACCAAAAAAAAAAAAAACCGCTTTCGGCGTGGTTTTGTCAACAAGCCAGGATTCCTAAGGAGATCTTGTGCACTCATCATATATCACCAGTGCAACACCATACATCGTAATGCAATTATTATTACATCATGAAATGCAACGCCATAAAATAATAATGTAATGTAGTTGTTACATAAGTAAAACAAAATTGTTTCATTAGCATTGTAAAGCTTCAAGACCAAGACGAGATGTGATTCAGATTCCTTCTTTATTTTCTAAACCTTAATGGTAAAAATCAATTTTCTATTGCTCTTTGAATACTAGATTATCCACAATTCTCTATGGGTCCATTTAGTTAGACAGAAAATTATGATAGAAAGTGAAAGGAAAATAAAGTGAAAGAAAAGAAAAGAAAATCAAATTTCCATCATGCATTTGGTTAGCAAGAATTTTTTTCAAGAAAGTTGTGAGAAAATACTATTTTGTGAGTTTGGAAAGCATGAAAGTAAAAAGAAAATGATTGCAGTTACTAAAACTACCTTTTTAGTTATAAGATTACTTTGTACTCTTTTGAGACATTGCTTTATCTTCTGATTCATGAACAAAATTAAATTTTTAAGTTCAAAATGAAACAATGATTCTGATATTTAATAATTTTATATATGTGATTATAGTTACAAGTTTAATTAATAAAAAATTTTGTTTTGAAAAATATTTAGGAAAAAAGATTGAAGTTAATATATATACTTTTTAGTCATAGAAAAATGTTTCAACTAAATTAATTTGATACATTTAATATATGTAGAATTAAAATTAAATTAGTTTGATACATCTAATTACTTCGAGTCATAAAGTCAAGAGAAGTCTATGTATGAAAAAGTACATGTACGAATTAAATTGTAAATTGTATGCGTAGAGACACTAATCCTAATTTTTCACCCAACACTCTGCTTAGATATATATATATATATATATATATATATATCACTTTAAATCATTATTAATAAAATATAATAAAATTTTAATTTTGTATGCACGTATAAAACTATATACAATTAAAATAGTATTATATTATTATATAAGCGATATACAATAGAAGGGAACTTACCTATTAATGAAGTTTGTGGAGAAAGTGGCATGGGCATAATAAGAAACTAAGATATGAAGGCGTCACTTTTACGGGAAAGTAAAATTTGGCTGTGTTTTTTGCGAGAAACATTTTGTGGAAAATTAAGCAGTTGCGATAAATTTACTTCCTAAAAATTTTCTTTTTCATACTAACCAAACTCCTAACAAATTAAAATAAATAAATTTGAGTTAGACTAATATTCTTTATGCTTAATTATTTATTTTAGTAAGCAAATAGTGAAATATGAAATAAAATAATATGTGATATCGTGTATAATTTTTTGTATTTTTTTACAAGGATAGAACCCTCAAAATTTTTACACTTTAAAAGTTGAGTAAGTACCAATATAATTGACTAATTTAACTTGTGTATATGAAAAAATATTGATTATTATTACTACGAAAAAATTATGCCAACTCTGTTCTATTTTTAACAAAATATTGAGTCATTGGATGCATCTCAATGAGTGGAACATGGTAGCACTCTACATATATGTTTGTATTATTATTGTATGTTGTCTTGAGATGACATGGTTTATGAGATAATAGTATTACCAACTACAAAAAATTGAACAATAGCAGCCATCACGAAAAATAATGAAAAATAATAATTTAATAATGGAAGGAAAAATTAATTAATTTTACAGACACGCATAAAATTACAAACAATTAAATTAGTAATAGACAAATTAAGTAATTTACATAACAAGGAAACTTTGAAAAGTCTATCTAGTTTAGCCAACAGATATGGGCATAATAGGAAAAACAAGAAATAAAGTACACAACTTTTGCGGGAAAGTAGATTTTTATAAGTTTTCAGATGTGGGAAATTTACATTTTTCAAAATTTTCACTTTTTATCTAACCAAACTACTAATTTTTTTTAAATTTTCTCTTTTATTTCCTTTCTTGCTGCTTGTTGTTAACCAAACGGACCCTATGGTCATGCTAATTTTCAGAAAAAAAAAAAAAAAAAGTACTCATTTTAATTTTTTTCAACTAACTTTCCCAAATTGTTTTTTAGTCAAACTCAAAGACGACGTGAATGTGTGATATATTTTCAAAAAAGTTGAGTTATACATTATGAATTGTTTTTAGCTTCTTTGACTTCTTAGGAAGCGACAATATAATTTACAAGCATGTTTTGAATCTCAGAAACCCTAGTTTGGAATGGAAAAAGACTTCCATTTAAGACAAATATGGAGGAGCCCTCTTCAATTATCCAATTAATGTATCTCTGCATTATTTAGTAGCAAACATTTACTCTCACAAAATCTGAGATCAACTTCATTTTGAGACGTTTTGATTGAGCCCTATTTAATTGGGTTCTATTTATTGCTACAAGAAAAGAATTGCATTTGCAATATTAAATATTTTGAGCAAAACCCAATAAAGTTTCTAAGTATCTTGGGATGAGACATAAATGATAAATGCAAGGAAGCAATAAAAGGGTAATGCCTTTCCACAGCATTGATGCCATACATTATACTACTACCCTAAATTAGTAAAATACTTTTCCCAGCTTAAATTTAATAAGGTTCATCATTCAAATAAATATAAAACTCTCAAAATAATGATGGATTCTCTAAAGGAGATGTGGAAAGTAGCTAGATTCATTTCCGACAAAGAAAATTTGATGATTCATTTCCGACAAAAAAAAATTTGATTTCACCAATCACTAATGCATCACTTTTCAGCACAGGAATTGTCATAGGAATTTGTTCACACAGTGATGTATAGAACGATTTGTCAAATTTTTTTTTTTAAAAGTTCGATATCATTATACACTTCCATAAACCGCTTAATTTGATTAGTTTACATCAATGTTTGTCTAAGTCCGTTATATGCCAACTGTGTTTAGGACCCGTTCCCTGTCCATATAATTTTTGTCGAATTTTTAAAACGTATTTTCACATTTAGAAAACATTCACACATGTGCCAACATCCTCATCTCTAAGGGGATATGGATGTTACAAACTCCCACTTGAATGCATTCTAAAAACTCTATTTTTAGAGTAGTGCCTTTTATATTTTTGGGAAAATAATTTTTTGTTTTCACGAATTTTTGAAAAATATTTAAAAAAAATTGAACTAAGTAGGCTTTAAACTTCCATCATCTCTTGGTTTTGAAAAAGAAAAACTTCCCTACAACTTGTGCCATTAACCAATCATATCATGTCAGATAAGTAAAAGTATTTTATTTGAATGGGTCTTATCTCTACATGTTAATATCTAATCGGTTGGTATAATTAAGTTTTATTTTTATTTTTATTTTTTATTTATATTTCCTAACACAATTTTATGTTTTGTGAATACGGAGTATTTGTGAAAATTTTTTTAGATGGTTGTATATCCTGTGGTTCAATATAATCGGAATTCTAAAAATAAGAAGAGTGAACTTATAGTAAAATATTTAAAACAAATCTAACGGAAATTTTGATTGGATTTTACTATAAGTAAGTAAAAAAAGAGAAAAACAAAAGAAGAAGAAGTAAAAAAAAAAAAAAAAATTTGGTTGTGAACTTTGTATTGAACAGCTGCCTCAGTGCTGTCACCTCCATTTTGTCACAACAGAAACTCCAACTCACGCGCCTTCGAGTCCGTGAAACCCAATACTAACTCATGATTGGTGAAGAAGTATCTATCATCCCTTCACTTCACACTATAGTCTCACTCTCACTTTCAATCTCACTATATAATAATGATCTAAACAGACAATTTATGTGTGTATACTGTATAGTTTGTTCACTGTGATTTCATTTCACTGCCGTTGAAGCGTCACTCAAGTCCACTTCCTAGAGAGAGAAACTAGGAATAGGTGCTAATTGTATGCAGATCCGTTCTTGTAATCTTGAGATTGGTGAATTTTAGCCCAAACCCAAAACCCTAAAAGCACTTCTCTTTCTCTCTCTCTCTCTGTCCGAGAGTGTAGTTGGTATCCTTTGTTGGCCCTGTTGTTCTGTTAATTTTGGCTTATTCGTACCTAATTTTCTCTCTTATCCGCTTTCCGTTTTGCTTCCGACAATAGACCCTTTTGTTTTTGTTTCGCTAAATTTTGTTTTCGGAAAACAAAAACAGATTTTGGGTAATGGAGGTTGGTTTTGAGCTTTAAGAAAGCTTCAGATCTGACGAAGAAGAGGGTTGGTTTGGTTTGGTCTGGTCTGGCTGTCACAAGAGATGTTGACACGCGAATGCTGCTTATTATTATCATTGATGGTCTCGTCTTTTTTGACTTAAAACCCCCCCTTCCAACAACTTTAACTCTGTTCTCAGATAAACTCTCTCTCTCTCTACCCTTTTGGTTGTGAAGGCTTTTTGGGTTCTTCTCTGTTTCTTGAGAGAAGTGTAGTTGAAATCTTTTGCTTTCTTGGGGGTGTTGGTGGAAAAGGGACAGAGGGTCAACGTCTTCTTGGGGGGTTTAGAGAGAAATTAAAGAGAAATAGGTAGCAATGTTTGGGATGGGGAGTCCTAACAGTGACCGTACGACCACTACTTGCAATGCTTTACTCACAGAACTTCAGGTCTCTCTCTCTCTCTCTCTTAATTTCTTTCACTTTTTTTGGGTTGTCGTTGTTTTATAAGAAAAAAAGTGTTTTTGAGTATCTTGTATGCGTTTTGGGTTCTTTCTGTTTTAGTCATGTTATTTTCGGTGTTCTTGATTCTCTTTTTGTGGGTTTTGTAGAGGATTTGTGAATTGTTGGGGATAATTTTAAGTGGGTTTTGAAGATAATTTGTGCTTGTTGGTGGGTTGAATTGATGTGGGTATTTCCGGGTTTGTTAATTCTGTATTCTATGACAAATTTCTTCTTTGGGTTCGGAAGAGGGAGTGTGGGGGTTCAATTCATGTTGGTGTTATCTGATTTTGTTGAGATATCTATTATTACTATTATTATTGTTGTTATTTTGGATTTGATTTCTTTTTTCTTTTTTGGGGTGAGGAAATACTTGGGATATATGCTTTGTTGCTAAGCTGGTGTTTTGTGTGGTTGAATTCAAGTGAATTTGACTATTCTATTTAAATTTTAATTCAATTGTTTTCTAAATGTGGGATTTCAGGAGAGATTCTGCTTGGTGGGGGCGGAATGATGTTATGGAAAAGTGTTGTTTCCTTTGTTGAATTCGAAATGATGTGAAATAGAGAAATTTTCCATTGATGAAATTGAAGAGCATTTTTTGGTCAAACTTAATTTGTTTTCTTCACTTTTCATTTTACAATTAGTAGAAGTCGTCAAATTTTTTATTGTATACAGAAATCTGTACCCATCTAAGTTCAAATTTGTAGTTATGCTTGTCATATAATGGAGGAATATAGAGCCATCTTTTGATGTTGTTGTTTTTATAAGCAGCAAATATGGAATGACATTGGCGAGAGTGAAGGAGATAAAGATCGTATGTTGTGGGAGCTAGAGAAAGAGTGCTTGGAAGTTTACCGGAGAAAGGTTGATGAGGCTGCCAATGCTAAGGCACGGCTTCATCAGTCTCTTGCAGCAAAGGAAGCGGAGCTTGCAACCCTAATGGCTGCTCTTGGGGAACTTAATCTTCAGTCACCGGTAAAAAAAACACAGAAAATATCTCTAGGAACTGAAACTATCATTACCAATGCTTTAACTCCTATTTAATTGATGCATTATTTATTGTTACTTTTTTTTTTTTTTTTGGTTCCCTGATCCATTGGTAGTTTCTTTTTGACATCCAAATTTTTCTGAATTTTCAAAATTTAAATACTTTTTTTGAATAGCCAACTTGTCTCAGATAATATTTTCCACTAAGATTGCTTTTTAAGGTTCATTGGATAAGTAGGAGGTAAAAAAAGAAAGGATAATAATAATTATGAAGGAAAAGAAAAGAAATGATTGTGTAATCCCTTTATCGTGTTTGGATAAGTAATTAGAGAAAGGACAGGAAATGATAGAATTACTCATGCTCATGTTTTGAGAGAGAAAATAAAAGAAAGTATCTTAATAAATTCACCAATATGCCTGTTTACATTAAAGTGGAATATTTAGGTAGGTTAGTTGTTTTCTCATCACAATTATATTTTCCACAGTTGTATGTTTACAGATTAATACTTTCACCAGAAAAGCATCCACTTTCTTGCGTATTCATATTTATAAGAGTGATTTTGGATAAACATATATTAACTTTTGATTTAAAGTTAAAAAGACTGTCCTAGGATATAGATGTAATTTTGATATTTGTTCTTCATCAGTTTTAAGTGTTTTTCTTTTCTTTTTGGTATTACGGATTTTTCATTAAGCACGCTTCTCCTTGCCATTGGTTTTCTTCCTATTTTGGGAGTATACTGTTTAGAGGATCAAGCTATCCCTTCAAATCCTTCCTTCTCCTAACACAATAGTCCCTTCATTTCCTTTCCTCTCTACTCCTTCCAACTCCCTCGATCCAAATGGGGGCTTAAGAACTTTTGTTATATTTTGTGCATGTCAGATGTATGGTCACTAATGATCTAGGCGATTGGATTGTAAATCAATCATCATTTTTGTTGGGGATGTCTCAAATTCTTATTGTGTTGGGTTTTGAATTGTAATGGTTTGAGAGTGTTTGTTAGACTTGCGCCCAAAGTAATTGTACTTGAGCCCCAAGTAGTTGCTTTCCTTGCCCAACAAGGATTTTTATTGCTTGTTCACCAAGCTAGGGTTTGGAACTCTCTATAAATAGGGAGGGAGTTGAGTGGAGAAGGTAGAGAAGAAAAAAGAATGGAGTGAGTGAGAAGAGAGAGGTGCAAAATAAATGGGTGGGCATTCTCTATAGTTGTATATTCTCTTCTTGCTTATTTGTGTGTTGCTTCCGCTGTGCCATATGGATTGAAGGGGTATAATTCCCAACAATTTTGATAGATAAAACCAATTATTTTATACAGGGATTGAGTGGAATGTTTAAGATTTTGTCATAAGTGGGATATCAACGACAAAATCAATCATGTCTCAAGATGCTAACAAAGAAAAATGAAGAAGAAGGGACATAAACAAATAAATAAAAGATACTGTTATTCATGTATCACTTTGCTCTTATTCATAGCATTTTATGGGATCTGCGATTGGAGAAAGAGTGGATTTCCTTGGCTGTAATGTATCATAGGACCTAGGTAAGGGACTAGCAAACACCATGAGGAATTTCTTGTGAAAATCTTAGTGTAAATGAGAAATAGAGAACTCGTATCATCCATTTGTTGTCTTATTCACCCTTACATTATTAAATTATTTCGACAAATAACAAATATTAATATTCCAGATCTAAAACCTTTTGGAACCAACATGTTTTGGTGCGCAGACATCTTGTAAGGATGAGGTTTTATTACAATTTATACTAATATATCTTTTATAGATAATTATGCCACTCACTGTGTAACCTTAAACGTCAAATTGGGCATTATAAGTCTGAGTTGTAGACACCCCAACCCATTAAAAATCATCACCTCCTTTTGGAATTATTTTTCCCCCATTAATCACATAGACATTCTTTGAAAAAAATCCTTAATCTAATTAACCGTTTGATTATTTAAAATATGTGCAATTATATTTTTCCTTAACCATGTTAATTTAGACCTTTCCTTTCCTTACCATTACCCACAATTTTGATCACGCTGACGTCGCTGATACAATTATTGAATTTTGCTGCACATGGTGAAGTCAACTTTGTCAATTTTCTCTCGTTTATCTCCTACATATGCTACTTCAACTGTTTCATCATTGTTTTCAAGACAGAAGAGCTTCGTTCGTCTGCTAATAGATATTTGACTTTTGAAGAAACTTATTAATGTTTTTCCTTATGAGGGTAAATTATCTAATGCCAGTTGTTTCCATTGATATTTTATTTTAACAAGTTGCTATTTTTCTATGCTATGGAGTTGAGCGTGGACAAATTCCCTCATGTTTCTGAAATAATGAAGTATGTGGCCTACACATCATTATCGTTCTTAACAGTATTATAATCTCTCTCCCCCTCTCTCACACACGCACAAACATGAACACACAGACCCTATTCCAACTGGAAAAACAAAATACTCGTCTTATGGAATAAATGAATTGTCATTGCAATTTGTTTCACTAAATATTTGGAGAACAAATGAAATAGCTTCACTCATAGTTTGAACTGGTTATTGAGACTGACAGTTCATTTAAAATGGAAATGGAAATTGGGATTTACATGATCTGATTCACTTGGGATCCGTTGATATCTAAAGAAGCTTTTTCTACCTTGAAATTGGTTTAACAACTCAGCATAGTTGCTCACGAGAGCTGATAGAATTGAGTCAGATTGCTAGCTCATATTGAAATTGTTTTTATGAGTCCAGTGTACTTTAAACGAAAGAGATCTACGATCAAAAGGTGCCTATTAGTGATTCAATGATCTTCACCCCTTGTACTATCTATCCAACTTTGCTAGGCTAGCCCTTGACCAGCATTTCAGCTAAATTTTTAGTGGAGATTATCAGGAAGTGCATCATGTAAGTATTTAGGGTTATTCACTTTACAACACTGATGAGTAACAAAATTATTACCAGACATTTTGGTAAAAGGTAGGTTACTAGTGCTAAGAAAGAGAAGGACGAGAAAGTGAGAATGCCCATTTCAGAAAACCTACGAGGCTGAGAGTGTCTAAAAATTAGAATATAAATATTCATGTAGATTAAAAATTTTATGAAGTTAAATTTGAGCCAAAGTTGATTATAACCTTGTGGTTGGGCGTGGTTTTCCTAACTATAATGTCAGGTGTTCGAGCCTTTGAAGCAACAAAAGTTAAATTTTTTGGACATAGATAACATTTTAAATGCTAAGTAGCACTGACACAAAACACAAATACGATACAACATGGATATTCGGCACCTCAAGTTCTAAATGGTAGAATATGAATACGGCATGGACACAACTATATTTATAAATTGTAAATATACAATTTTATTTATATAATACAACTATTAGAATTTTGATTTTTCTAACCCATACTAAGAATTGCATATTGTGGAAGACAAAATTATGCAAATGTCATAAAAAAATTTAATCTTATAATATTACAACTAGTACCCTGCTATTATATAGAAATATATATTGATGGCAATTATTTTCTTTTCCTATATAAAAAAGTGTTAGTTACATTATTTCACTTGTAGTGACTGTGTTAGACACGGACATGACACCTTTGTACAAGTTTTCTTAGGCTTAAATGTGGACAATGCGGCTGAATCCGCATCTTAACAGGTCAATCTTTTTGAGTGTTCCACATTCTCACTGGACTCCAAAATTGGCTGAGCCACTTTGCAGTCTGCACTCCCTAGGTAAATAGGGTATCCTAAGTAATGATCAACTGGATTTCACCACGCTGGCAATAAATATTTTAATATGAAAACTTTTAGTTGCCTTTTCTAAATTAGATGTTACCTAATTGTTGGTAACGAGATTCCTAGCCCCTTAAATGTGTTGATTTCTTTAGTGTAATCAAGCAGCTGATGCTATTTATATGGATGGTTTGGATTGCAAATTTGAGCTCATAATTCTTGTATTCAATGCCATAAAAGTTTTCCTTTATGCTGCGTTTGGTATGTAGGAATGGAATGGAATGTAAGTAGGAATGGAAATGGAATGGAATGGTCATTCTTATTCTATTGTTTAGTTGCAAATATGAAGTATGTAGGAATGAAATGATAATAACCATTCTAGTGTTTGGTTGGACCAATTTAAAATTTAGAATGGAATGAATTTCAAATTGAATTATCCAAAATACCCCTCTTAGTGACAAATAAATTAAATTAACAAAATAACATTCTTCTATAATTTTTTAAAAAGAATTGGAGACGGTGGTGGATGGTTGTGATGATGGTGGTGTAGGTGGTGGTGCTGGAAGGTGGCGACGGAGCAGTGGTGCTCGTGGAAGGTGGTGACAGTGGAAGCAGTGGTGGTAGTGTTGGAAGGCGTTAGTTGTCAGTTTGTCACAACCCAAATCCGTAGGACTTGGATCACGACTAGGAAAGGAGGGACATCGGACTCTCACTCAAGTCAAGTGTGAAAGTCAAGGGTACAATGGTCATTTCTGGGGTTATATCATGTGTTAGTCATGCTAAGTGTCTCAAAGTGGTCTCACTAGAGCTTCTTTGTTTCCCACAAGTCCTTAGATAAGTCATGGAATGGCCCATAATATATAACTTTACAAAATACACGCTTCCATTACATACATGACGGTTCTCCAAATCATACATGAGTCCAAATATACATACATAAATGCTCATAACTACACATAAGTTCAATTACGTCAAAATACTAAAGTGTGACTCAAGGAAAGTCCCAAGCCCTCAAGATGAAGCTACAGGGTGATTCTTCATGATGATGGTCCTTCTTAGCAACCTTCTACCTGAAAAATGTTAACAACAATAATGTATGCTGAGGTATAATTAGAAATTTAGTGGGGGCGTTTTTAAACTTTTTTTTAAAAAATAGGGACATTTTTAAGATTTTCACAAAATCTATAGGTAATTTTATAAATAAAAAAAATTCCAGTGGGGGTGGTTGCCCCTACTGGGCCCTTCATGGGTCCGTGCCCTCTGTTACATAGACTCTTCAAAAGTAGTGAAGTATCCGTGTCGGACACACATCCCTCGGACATGGGTATGTGATATGTGTTCGACACTTTTGGTTGGACATGTACTTAAAAAGCATATGCAATCATTCAATTTCATTATATTATTACTTTAAAATGAGTTAAATGCCTATATTGAACATTATATTAGATAAAAACATTACTTTACTCTAGAAAATAAAATAAAATAATTAATAAAATGAATAATTAGTTGTGTCTGTGCGTCATTCTATTTGGAGATTTGACACGTTTGACATATGGATAAATACCCGTGTTCGACACCTGTACCCGAGTCTATGTAACATAATCCGTGCCTGACGGGGGTGAGCACGAATGCCCAGTAGGATTGAATGATAGCATAATAAACTACATTTCTTGGATTTCTAGAAACATATAAGCATGCTCGGCAAAACAAAGAGGGATGGGTGTCATGCTCCCTTGCTTTAGGTTCATAACATGGTAAGTCAATGTAGAGCAACTGAACAAATAAGCAAGTCATGATCCAATTATGAACGGGGGAAGGCATGTCATAAGTTAAGAGCACATAATGGCTTATACAAGTTTACACATGGCTTATACAAGTTTGCACATATCCACAATGATCAATTATAAGCACTTCCCACATATCCAATACAAGCTCTAAGGTTCAACAATACTAAGGGCAAGGACTCAACTCAACTCCACAATGTCACCAAAATGCAACTCACACGTGTATGCCATGATGCAACCATGCCAACTCACACATGCCGAGACCATCTTTCAAATGTCAAATGAACACAGTGCCAGTTGCACAATCAAAGGGTGCTACTCTGCGCCTCAGGATAGGAGGACGTCACTCCCATATCCTGTCCTCGCTTTTTGGGCTACTAACCTGACGGTACGTGACACCCGAGTGGCCACTTGTGAGGCTTTTCGACCCTTGGGCTCCGAGCACAACTTGTTTCCTTTCCACCACAATTCCCACACAATTCATGCCATGAGATGATGCAATGCCACTCACCCATGCTTGGTATGCCACTCACACAATCTCTTATGCGCGTAACCATCACTTTGTTACCATTATCAGTAATTCCACAATTAATGCTTTCATATAGGCAATTTATCAAACACCTTCAATACACTTTCCATGTCATATACACACATGCTTAATTTTCCCACAATTAGGTAAGATAACACTAAGATGACAACCATAGCAATACCATACTTAATTTCCCTTCCCCTCTATCATGCTTTTCAATCCTAAATTCCCATTCCAAAATTAGGCATGCTACATACATTTTTTTTTCCTAAATGAAGGAGTAGCATACATTTCATATTACATTTCTAAAGTAATATTTTCATTACTTTGGCCAATAGAAATCACATAAATAACTCAACATAAAACATGCTTTTACACATGGATTAGAGCACATAGAATCACATAGGCACATAATACTTTGGCATGCTTTACACACCCACACCTCTAAAAATGCATAAAATCATAGTTTTTAAAAGTATCACACCCCCTACCTCTAATTGGGATGAAAACCCCAATCTCCACCGGAGTCAAAGTGCTCAAATTTTGAAATTACTTCTGTAGGATTGAAGAGGATGGAGAGGAGAACAACTAATCCTCTTGTAGCCTCTTTAAATTCCAAGTCTTACCTTCACCCCAAAACTCTAAAGTTCTCCAAATTGAAATCAAAGACCATAGGCTTGTAGGCCTTGATGAGCTCTCTCACTTCTTCAGATATGGCTTGAACAAATTCCTAAAGATGATAGATGATATCATGGTCTAATGTAAAATGATGAAGAGAAGAAAAAGAAGGAAATGGGGAAAGAAAAGGGTGTTGCAGGCTGAGAAAGGAAGGAAGAAAAGGTCTTTCTTTTGTCCCACTCATATGCTTATATAGCTCCAAAGGTTAGTGGAATGGGTCCCTCCACTATAACCATACAAATGACCACTATGTCCCATTTCCTACCATACATAAGAAGTTACAACAAAATAAAATCCAAGTGTCCCAACACTATGAAAATAAAGTAAGTGAAGTCGGGGAAATTCCAGAACACGGAATCCAAACCCGGGCCCACACGGGAACCACCCGGGCCCACAAACCTGGAAGGAAGGGAAACAATCCTAAATGAATTTCTAAGAGTCTGTGACTCTAAGAAAGACTTTAAATTAATTTTGGAACACGCATCCCTATGCCACGAAAAACATCATACACAATAAAAGAAAAGAGGCCGAAAATGGAAAAAGTGAACTGGTCTCTGCATTAGTGGTGTAGGTGATGATGGTGGAAGGCGGTGGTGGTAGTGATGGCGGCGGAGGTGGTAGTGGTGGAAGTGGCGGTGGAATGCAGTTAAAGCGGCGGTGGTGGAAGTTGGTGACAGTGGCAGTGATGGTGGTGGAAAGCGAAGGCGGTGGCGGTGGCGGCTGTAATAGTGACGATGGTGGAAAGGCAATGGAGGTGGCGGTGGTAGTGGTGGAAGGCGGTGGTAGTGGTGGAGGTGGTAGTGGTGGAAGTGGCGGTGGTGTGGTGGTGGTGGAAGTTGGTGATAGTGACAGTGATGGTGGTGGATGTGGTGAAAAGTGGCGGTGACGGCGGTGGCGGTAATAGTAACAGTGGTGGAAAGGCAATTTCGGTGGCGGTGGTTGACGGTGGAAGTGGTGGTGGTGGCCGTGGAGGCGATGTTGGTGTTGTGGTTGAAGGTGGCAACAATGGTGGCGGTAGCAATGACGGTGGTGGAAGGCAATGGAGGTGGCAGTGGTGAAAGGCGGCGGCGGTTGTGGTGGAAGGTGGTGGTGGTGGTGGTTGTTTTTGGACTTGGAACATGAGGGTTTTTTGGGAACTTGATTTTAAAAAAATTTACTTGGGAATGAAATGGTCATTCCATACGTTGAAGTTGGGGAATGGGTTTTCTTTCCAATGGAATGGCTATTCCCACTTTAAATTGCATACCAAACGAAGGAATTGTTGGAATGGGTATTCCATTCCTGCACACCAAACACAACTTTACTTCTTTATTTGAGTGGTTTTAGACTTTTCACTTTGGTAACACACTAGAAACTAGATGAGGTGGCAGGAATGGTTGATCCAAAGAGTTTTGAGATGAAGGGTTGGATAATCAAATTCAAGCAAGGTCACTGACCTGTTGATGTGCGCCCATTTTTTATTTTGTCATTTCAGTTTTTCCCAAATTTTCACCTTTTTATGTTTTCATCTTTCTCTCTCTTCTATATATATATATAGATTTGGTTTTGAACTTTTTTAATCTAGTTTTGCCCTTATGGATTCCTGACATTAATTTTTCCTTATCTTTTCTTCGATGGTCCTAGATTTTTTCTATTTTCTAAATAAATTTTGTTGGCTTGGTAGTTTCAAATTTGAAAATTTACTTTATGTTTGCTTCAGTATGTTTGGCTGTGGATTAACCTACCTCTTGGTATGGGCAAAACATGCATGCCATGAGATTTTGACATTGTCTTACTAGCCTTTTGGTCTATTGTGAGGAAAAGAAATTCAAGTAAAAGGAACGGAACAAGCAGAGATGAGGATGAAGCTTTTTTATGCTGTCTGAATTCAAATTTCACTATATATACGAGGATTACACAAAGATAACTTCAAGTACCTGCCATGCAAAACAATGGACACTGAAGAGTGAGACTTGTGATCAGGGGCCTCTTCTGATTGCACCTTTGGCTGATAGGAAGAGTAAATATAATGGCACTGAAATGAAAAGAGGATATAATGAAGTCAATAAAGGTTGACATCTAAATCTGTTTAATGTCACCAATGGTCAAACTAACTGATAGGTAAGCATGTAGTATTACATGCGTTGCTCTGTGTTGGGGCTGCGGAAATGCACGAACATGGAGATCCAATGGAAGCCAACAAAGCAATCACACACCAACACAAGATATAACGTGGTTCGAAACAAACCAGCCTACATCCACAAATGAGAAGAGATTCCACTATGATTCTGTAAAGATATTACAACAATAGAGTACTAACATCGTGTACATGCCTTTTACCAAGTTCCACTCCACGAACCTGTCTCCCACTACCAGGGTGTTTTTCCTACTATACCAACTCATAAACTGCCTCTACCCAATCAATTTCCTCATGAGATTACATCTCTCTCAATTTCATGTCTCAATCTGTAACCAAGGTATCTATTTATAGAGTCTCAAACCCAATTCCTTGTTGGACAAGGATTATAATTCTTTGTAGTCCAAGACTTGCCTAACAAAGTACAACTCTAAAATAGAAACCAAATTAAACTAGGAATTTGACACACAAGTCCCAACACACCCAATGGTCGAACTAACTGGTCTCTGATTGTCAAATTAACTGATCACCAATGGTTAGTTTGGTATTCATTGCATCCAAAAAGTGATAGGAAGTGGTATTATATGAACGGAAAGGGTATTATTGTAAGTAGTTGACAGAAGAAGTCATGCTAAATGCATTCTTGCATCTGGATTTGTAGCTTGTAAATGCAACTGTGTATTCAACTGGAAATGAAATCTATTATTTTTTATTTTTGATAAGTGGAAATGAAATCTATTTTAGTGCATATATACCATAATGGTTTATGCAGTTGTTACATATAGTCTAAAATGTATTGCTTCTAATTGTTTCTTACTAATTTGTTTATATTGTTTAAGCTATAAATGGTTGCTGAAAGTTACTAGCATACAAACTAGGATTTACAGTACCCGTTGGATCTTCATGTCAATTAAATTTAAGGGTTAACCCATGCATTTCATTTGATATGACTTCCTTACTTATACAACTTGTTTAATTAACAGATCACAAGAGAGAGGAGAACAACACCACTGAAGGAGCAACTTGCATTGGTCACACCACTGGTGGAAGACTTGAAACTAAAGAAAGAAGAACGAATTAAGCAATTTGTAGAGATAAAAGCACAAATTGAAAAGATTACTGGCGAGATATCAGGATACAGTCATCTCATCAATGCTGTGGCTTCTTCAAATCTGGAAGAACAAGACTTGTCAGTGAGAAAGCTTACTGAATTCCAAACACATCTTCATAATCTTCAAAAGGAGAAGGTATTTGTGCTGTCATCCTCTTTTCAGTTGATGCCTCGAATGTTCTGGGTTTGTGTCAACTATGTAAAACTAGGTACTTGCACTTGTCATATTAGTATCCTGGTAACTGGTGACTGTTTGCATTATGATATACCTAATTCCACGAATTAATAGATGGTATGTTTCTTGAGTCATCTCATTTAAAGCATTTCAAGATCAAATGCAATTCATCCATGTCTGAAAGATGGGAAAACATTGTGTGATAATATACATACTTTGAACTAAAGATTTGAGCATTTTGTATTAGTGTAGCAAGAGCCACTGGTTCCTGTTGCCAATTAGCATAGCAGGTATTAAACGAAATAAAATTGAAATCCTGTATTCTTTGCTTTACACAATGCCATCAATTTTATGGGTTTTTTGGTGATTCAGCTTTTAAATACTCCTTGTTTTTCATTTACTTTTCAGTCTGAACGGCTCCATAAAATTTTGGAGTGTGTGAACGAGGTGCATTCCTTATGTGGTTTGCTTGGGTTGGATTTTGGCAAGACTGTGAGTGATGTGCATCCAAGCTTGCAAGGGACAAACCTAGAACAGTCCACAAACATCAGTGACAGCACTTTGGAAGGTCTGGAACAGGCCATTCGAAGGTTGAAGACAGAGAGAAAAGTTCGATTTCAAAAGGTTATACGAATCCTTCGTATTACATGTTGCTTTTCTTTCGGTATATAAAGTTATCCCTGTCTTGAAATGCAGCTGAAAGATATTGTGGCTTCACTATTTGAACTTTGGAATTTGATGGACTCCACCAAAGAAGATAGGAGTAACTTTTCAAGGATTACTTCCATTAGTGGATCATCAGAGTTGGAAATTGTGGAACCAGGCACTCTTTCAATAGATATTCTCGAACAGGTGTCCAACACAGCCTCACATTATTTTTTTGTTGCAATGCAAAAAGTAGATTCTTAAGTAATCATTTGTCTGACAGGCATCAGCAGAAGTGGATAGGCTCACTAAACTGAAAGCAAGCAGAATGAAGGAACTGGTTATGAAAAAGAGGTCAGAATTGGAGGATATATGCCATAAGACCCATATTGAACCTGATCCAAGCACAGCTGCTGAAAAATCCAGTGCAATGATAGATTCTGGTATAATATCTTGTGTTCATAGCATAATCTGTCCGTATTTTCCATTTTGAACCTGTTTTGCGTTTAAAACTAATGCATCCTAAATCTCTGTTGTTTAGGTCTTGTGGATCCTTGCGAACTTCTGGCGAACATTGAAGCACAAATAATCAAAACAAAAGCCGAAGCTTTAAGTCGGAACGAAATTATGGATAGGATAGAGCGATGGCTTTCTGCCTCTGATGAGGAAAATTGGCTTGAAGACTATAATCAGGTAAGCTAGAAATGATTATAGTTATATAGCCTCGAACATGTTGAAGACGGGGACCAGTGTCATGAATTGCATGACTATATTCTCTTTTATTTTTCAAAGTTTTTCTTTTCAATATATCCTGATTTTGTGGTTCACCGCAGCTCAAGATAGGAAATTAAATTTTTAGTGAATTGATCACTATTTGTGAGGTACAAGTGAGAACTTCTAGATCTTGTCGTATTCTAAGGAATCTTTCTGCAGGATGAGAACCGGTACAGTGCTGGAAGAGGTGCTCACATAAACCTAAAGCGTGCAGAACGGGCTCGAGTTACTGTAAATAAGATTCCAGGTATTCCATTCTGCTTAATTAATAATTTCATCTTTTGGCTGAGCTGGCATTATTCTTTGGAGTTAATGAGTTACTCTTTCTAGCAATGGTTGACAATTTAATAAATAAGACACTAGCATGGGAATCCGAGAAAAAGAAGCTGTTTCTTTACGATGGGGTGAGTTTTTCTGCAGACTGAGACGTCTAGATCACGCTTTTCTGGTGGTGCTGTTATTTGAGTAATTTATAATGCTTTTCTAGGTTCGGTTGGTATCAATACTGGAGGATTTCAAAGTAACCAGACAACAGAAAGAAGAGGCGAAGAAGCGATACAAGGTCATTTATTTATTTAATTTTTCCTTCAAAATTTTTGGGTAGGTAAAAACATAAAAAGTTGTTAGCAGCTTAAGAAGTTATATATACTGCATTTTGGAAAAAACACAGACAGCAAGGTTCTGCAATGTTAGGCACTCCAGTTTGCTATGTAAATTGCGAAAATGATGGACTCTTTTTTTTACGTGATCATACTTTATTAGCTCCTCATGGAAACATGTTATATCAATTGTATATTATTAACTTTGAGTCATTTTACATTATGAAACTACAGTGGTTTTATTTCAGTTTTATATGTTCTGAATGGCTAAATGATGAGATTCCATTTATTATGGATAATATGCTGATCCAAGAATCATCCTTTCCGCAGGACCAAAAGAAGCTCCAAGACCTGCTGCTTACAGAGAAGGAAGCCATGTATGGTTCTAAACCTAGTCCAAGAAAAGGCAATAGCTTTAGGAAGGTGAATGGATATCATCTGAGTAGAAATGGATCCATGCCTCCCACACCCCGCCGGAACTCAATTGGCAGTCCAACTCCGGAGCTTCGAACGCCGCGATCATATTCTGGGCGACAAAATGGGTATTTCAAGGAAATGAGAAGACTGTCAACTGCACCACTGAACTTCGTTGCTATAACAAAAGAAGATGCCATGTCCTCCTCATCTGTTTGTGGTTCTGAACCGGAGTCTCCTCCTCAAGGCTGAAGTTGAATTGGTATGTCTTGCTTTAGTTTTCCTTGTACCTCTTTTGTGCCATTTTAGGATGAAACTTGCACAGATTTGTTGGCATTTGGAAGTCATGCAAGTTAAAAATTTATATCATGTTTTTTTTGCCTTTTTGGGTAAACTTCATTCACTGCCCTTGAGGTCCAGTTATAAAAATTATATTTACCTCCCTTGTCAGAAACTTCTATAGAATGGTGTTGATGAATCTTGTCATTCTACTTTTTTGCCCTTCAATTATTTTAATATTTTTCAATAAAAAGTTAAATTAAATTGGAAATATGAGGTCACATGCACACTTCATAGTTCATACCCGATGGAGTACTCTTCCCAGATGGGTAGCAAGTACGGGTATTCAACAAAAAATGTATTAAGACAACAAATTCCTACTTTGCCAGACGTTTCTTGGTTTCTGAACTTGTTATGAGTGAATTTACCATGTCTGACGTGTTAAACAAACACATCACTATATTTCTTTAGTGGCTGGATCACTGACTTACCGCTACCAGTGCAGCATTTGTCTATCTGAGAATCCATGTGACTTAGAATAGAAAGGAAATACGTATTTTTTCTGATTGTTGTAAGGAATGGATGGAATGGCTATATGATTGGTGTCTAATCTTTTGAATTTGTAGTCTACTGCAATTTTCCGACTGAAACTTTTATTTTCAAATATCTTGTGCAGGAAGAAGCAACTTCTTATGATCCCAACGACTGTACACTGGTTAGGATAGCAGAAACATTGTGAATACGGAATGTACACTTGTATTGCGGTTGGCATATTTTAGAATGAACTGTGGTAACTGACCAAGGATCATGCACTTGGTGTTAATCATGTTTGAAGAAAAGCAGATGCTGGAAGCGGTGGCATTGATAGATTGTAGTTGGGCTATACTAGTTAACTTTACGTCGTGTGTGTTGAAATAGATGCTAGTGACAATGTATGTTTCGGATTTTGCTTGTCTACTGCTTCTTCGTGTGTGTATATATGTAATTCAGTGTGAGGCCATCATTTTACGTAGTAAACTTCTTTCCTTTAAAGTGCTGGTTGTAGGATGTTTGAATGGAAAGAGAAGTTTTATGTCTTCCAGGTTGTTTATAACCGGTGTGAGTTGTCTGACCGACTCTCAGTACCCTAAATATTTTATGCATCTCCTTTTGTATCTGAATGCTTAATTCTTTGGAACTGGACCAAATAGTTCTCTGGTGGCACCAAAAGATAACATAGAACCGTTATTTTGATCGAGTTGTGACTTCGAGCTGACCTAGTTTTGAGCTGTTGAAGTAATGAAATGATGCTGCTGAGTTATGGTTGTCTAACAAGCTCTATCTGGTGACATAAATCAGTCAAAATGTACCATCTTTTGAGTATATATATATGTGTAAGTTATTTATCATTACAAATAGAACCAAATGGAACAAATAGCATTGATGAATTGTATATATCATTTTACTTATAAGCAATACCAATCAAACAGATCAAATAAAATAGGTATTACAAACACTAAGGGCTATAGCTCAATTAGGTAGAGCACCTCATTTACAGGCGCGCCAATGTTTTTCAGTGGAGTCTATCATGCAATCAAAAGAATTGATCTTATTAAGAAATCGATGTTCTACTCCATAATTTTGAGGGGATAAGAGAACAATAGCTTGACAAATGGTTCGGTCCGATTCGGGTGCCCATTTAGTTAGCAAACATAACCCATCATTGATTTGAGATATTGATAAGGTGAATACCCAGTCTATTCAATGCTAGGCATGATGAGTATAAGGAGCCATTTCCTTTCAAGAAAAAATATGGCAGACTAGCTGATATTTTATTTATATCAGTTAATGAAAGAGTCCAATGCAAAAAAAATGCATGTTGGGTCTTTGAAACAGTTCTTATCATTTTGATAATAATTAGTTTGATCTATTTTACAGAGAAGGTCTACGGTTCGAGTCCGTATTGCCCTACAAAATAAAAAATTGTAAAATTCAAAAAAAAAAAAAAAAAACTGTATCATTTTTATTTCCTTATTGTTGTTTATAACTGTCCGGTTAGTTCATCGAAATAAAACATCCCTATAAGCTCACTCATGGGCATCGTTTTGGGCATCGTTTTGAGCAAAACATAAAACTGAAAGCAAAAACGCATTTCAATGGATCCAATCGATATTTTTCCAGTCTCGAATAAACAAACAACCAACGTTTCTTCATTGATCTTCGAAGGTTAATTACATATTAATTTTCCTCCTTTCCTGTCCACAATCAAAGAGTTATTGATACGCCTCTTTTTGGTATACCTAATCCTAGTGAATTTTTGAAGTTAAAATCAGGATATGAGCCCGGTTAAAAACTCCAAACTAACCCAACCCAACCCAAATCGAATCGAATAGTAATTCACATGGATCTAGGAAAGGCCTGCTATATTTGTGCACAAGCTAAAGTTTGAAAAACAAATATTTTTTGTAAGTTTCATTTTAAACAATATAAAAAAGTTCCATTGTAAACAATGCCAAATCGGCTTTTTCTTTTTCTTCGTATACCTTACCTAGCAAAGCATAAAACAAGTAGTCTTCTCTTTCTGTATTCAATCAATATAAACTCCGCCGCTTGGATTCTAATAAAAAAAACGATATTAACACCAATATATTCTAAATCTTGAGATGGAAATTCCTAAACATTCTCCTCCATCTACTTATTTGCTCTGTTCTAAATCACCTAAATCACTAAGAAAAAGAGATAAAAAGACCTCTTGATTCTATTTCTTTTAGAATATTCATTCTATATAAATAGAACCAAAATGGATTTCAATTTATAATAATAATAAATAGAATTATAAATTTTTTCTAAAAAAAGTAAGAATTCTATTTAGAATTCCTTTTCTTTAGAAAGAATCCTAGATGAGGTGAAACGAAGAGAGTTTTATTTGTATAAGAGCAATATATATTTATATATTTATTCTAATACTAACTATATTGAAAAAAAATCGAAATAAGTGTAATTGAAATGGGATTCCAATTGATCAATCTTGAAACGAGACTATATTATGTATGGAAGTATATTATGCTATTTCTGAAAAGTAAACCTTGCCTTGTATTCTTGGTTTTTTGGGATTTAGTTCAAAATTACTTTGAAATGGGGAGCATTTGATATAGCTTTACTCCATCTTGCTCTTGTATTTCCAATTATGTTTCATCTCATTGATACTGGGCATTGCTCTTGTATTCCCCTTTGTATAACCCTTGTTGCTCAAAAACAAAAGGCCTCTGGCTTAATGGTACAACTTCTCCGTCCTCAAAGAGGAAGGGAAATTTTTGGTGCTTACACACACATGCCTCTATTGAGACCTGAACCCTTGGTCTTTCTTTGGGAAGTAAGGGTATGACACCGCTATGTCACTGGGAAGGCCAAAAGTGTGCACACACTCCAACAAGGGCAAGTTTCGGTTCATTCAGGATGGATGCTATTAATAAACATCCGAAACCACTATCACAAGAAAAAAAAAAAAAAAAAAAAACAATAATAATAATAATATAAGAAACTAAACATTAATTTATAGTTATAGAACATAAAACAGACAAGAACCCTAGAGTTTGCATAAACAAGAACTAGGTAGAGTTTTGCCTAAACAAGACTCAAATGAAAATAAACAAAAAAATAGAACAGAAAGCAAAAGCCAAATGACATAACATGAAAACCATAACAAGCACAACAGAAAAACAGAACAGAAAGCAAAGCCAAAGGACACAATATGAAAACCCTAACAAGCTCTGCTGGGTGAAGAATATTTAGCCACTACCATATAGCCTTTGAAGTAGAACCCACTTGCAAACGCCTCTTGTTGTTGTTCATCCAGAGCCTGTAAGTTTGATTGCCCATCCCCATCCTTTCACAGAACTCATTTATCTCCCGGCTTCGCTCCCTGTTGGTCATCGTCCACCCTTATGCTGGTGGCAAAGGCTCGCATTTTCACCACCTCTTCTTCCGTATACCTCTTGTTAACCCTCTTCCCCGACGCATCACGTACAGGTGAATCATGCACGTTGTTATTGGAGACCCTTTCTCCATTGCTTCCACCTTCATTAGGGTGTTGGCCTGCATTTCCTCTCTGGGCATTTCTGATAAGGTGGAAACTGCTGTGGCAACCACAAGCAAAGCATTTTGGTAAGCCGGCGGGGTCTTAAACGAACTCACTACAGCTATCCAAGACAAAATTGCCATGTGCAGCACCATAGTTTCTGTTGCATTAACCATACACCAAGCTTATGTGTTCCTCCATTCTCTCTCCTCTTTCTCTCCACACTGGAGTGAGTTAAGTTTAGTGTTTAGACTATCAGTTATATACTTGCTCCGTCCCATTTTATTTGTCCAGTTACGATGTGGACAAATAAAATGGGACGGAGGGAGTATATAGATATTAAAAATATTTTAAAAAAGGGCTATATGAGAAAGATAATACTTAACTACTCACCGGTGAGTAGGGTGAAGCTACTCACCCTTATATGGTCCCATAACAAAATAACACATTACTTTCAATAATAAAATAATACACACCTAAAAACACTATATACATTCATTCGATAGTTGATCCGAGAAAGCAGAGAAATGTGCGGATTATTTAATTCTTAAAGGTGATGTGTTATTTTATTATTGGACCACATAGGGGTGAGTAGTTTTATCCTACTCACCGGTGATTAGCTAAGCATTATCCATATGAGGATAGGGTTAAAATGAAGTGGGGCACACATGGAATAAATAGTGATTACATGATATTGACCTTAAGGATTTTATCCAAGGACAATCTAGTTGTTTTGATGATAACAAACCATTAATGGTGTTTAAGGACTAATGTTGACATTGAGTGTTATAGATGACTTATATTCAATGAAGAACCTCAATGAAGATCATAAAGATCATTCCAAGTATTCCATTACTCAAGATCACATCTATGGAAAGTAAAGAAGTCAAAGGAACTTAAAGTTGCAAGGAACTAAATGCAAAGTCCATCCAAAGATAACTTGGACTACAACGAGCAAGAAAGCAACTCAAAGAAAGGAAGAAATCGAGTCTACCTGAAAGCCTACACGATCATGGACAAAGCGTGAAGAAAGGGGTAGATAGGATGGTGAGTGTTTAGGATTCAATGTCAAAGTATTTATGAATCCATTTGAAGCTCATCTCTATAGGACCATGCATATCATATCATCATTCGTATGCTCCTATATCCATTAGCAATTGACTATGCACTTCATTCATATACAATTGACATATGGAGTCTTTGTTTAAGAGTGAGTTAGGTCAAGCTTGCATAAGCTTTGAAAGAAATCATCACTTGTGCTAAAAATGCTAAGACCATGCACATCAATCATAAAATTCATATTGGTCAACAATTAAGGCATGAGAAGCCTCATTACCATAAATTGGTAACGGACATTAGGACCCCAGAATGCGCGTCATGAAAAATTATGTTTTTGGCTAAGTGTGAAAAATGAATTTTTGAAATAATGATTATTTCAAAATAATTTTTCCCGATAATAACTCTTTATACTTCCACTAGTCTAAACTGATTTTATCAGAATTTTTGACCAAGTCTACATTGGTCTACATAAGGATTCATTTTTACTAAAACTGTCGGAAATCCAAATTTGTACTAAAACTGAATTTCTACATTTTGATTTAGTTGGATTTCAATTTTTTAGTATTTTTTATTGAATCCAAATGGGGGTTACTTCCTTATTTACATTGTAAACTTAAAGTAAATGTCTTTACTTAAATGTTTTTAATGGAAATAAGCTGTGTGCAGATGTCCTGTATTGAAAGTCTTATGCATAAGCTGTCATCTATCAAAACTGTTAATGCATACGTCGACTGGTTTGATGCAACTGTCAACCGGTATCTAGGCAGTAGCAAAATTCAAGGAGGAGCTTATATACGTCGACCGGTTTGATGCATACGTCGACTAGTTTGATGCATACGTCAACCGGTTTGATACATACGTCGACCGGTATCTAGGCAGTACTGAAATTTCAGGAACACAACATATGTCGATCGGTTTGGAGCATACGTCGACCAGTTTATGCCATACGTCGACCGGTTTATGCCATACGTCGACCG